CTGTATTGCAAAAGTTAAATTGATAAAAAGAATTTTATCGTTCCTTATAATATTTAAATAAATGTTTATTACATAACAAATGATTCTTCGATAATATTTAATAACGATATCCATATGATAATAACCATCTATTGTTATGATAATGACAATGCAGAATGCAATGCTAATGCAAAAACTTTATTCCAACTGCAGTAATAAAATGAAAATGATGTACATATCTTGTACATACCTTAAAATATGTACTTCTTATTAAAAAAGAATTAAGCCCATTTTCCTTACATATCGCCATTTCGTCATTTTATATTATATTTTTTCTCATAAATCGTAAAAGAATACGAATTTTCTTCTAGATAAAAATCTTCTTTTTCACTATGCTAAAGAGTTACAATTAATTCTACCATTTTTATACGAGCCACATATGACTTCTTATTCACGTAACACAGAAATGTCATGCAAAAATAAAGAAATACTTTTATCCTACATCAATCACGAACGAACTTACAAATTTAAATAATTGATATATTAGAAAAAAAAATGGGATTAAAAGAGAAAAATATGGCAAACCAGGTTCGACAAAACATTTTCTCCCATTTTTTCTTCCCTCTTAACCCCATTTTCGATCACCAATTAAATAAACCCTTAAATATTTTGCAACCTAAAAAAAGAAAGAAAACCGAATACCAAACGCCTCGTACGATCGAATCCTGTAACCACCATCGAAGAGTATCCACGGCAAGTGCACGAATCCACCCAGAGACCCCATTTTCCTCCGTCCGCAAGATTTTCGACGATTCTCGAGGAGCAACGAGCCGTGACGTCGAAGGCTCTGGCTCCCAGGAGCACCAATTACGATTACCGAACGGCCGTCACTCGGCATTATCGGATAGTTAACTCGGTAAATGGGGGAACGAATTTTCCCCCTTTTCTTTCTCTTCCTCCCTTTCGTTCGTTCTTTCAAGATGACGATGATGATTTGAGAGCTAGCCTCAGGACAGCAAGAAAAGGGTCGCGATAAGGCATGTTAGCCAGCGGAGCATGGAATTCCACCAGGCAGATAGAGCATCTCGGCGGCCTATATTCGCGGCTTATTTTAGAACCACACCGAGCCAGCCTCGGCCATGCACGCGCACGCGTTTAACGGTGCACTAGGGAACGCGTGCACCGATTACAATTTGCTAGATATCGGCTGGTGCGCGCGCCATAAGCGGACCGTGTGAACGTCAACACCACGCGCAACTTTCTCGCCTGCACGAGCACCAACCAGAAAATCAACGGATCATGAAGCATCACTGATTTCTGAATATGAAATAGAGATTAAGCATTATACTGTGGTTCTAGACGTAGTAGCTGTTGCTTAACTGCAATGTATATTGTACATTTTCGAAATTAACATTTTAAAAGCCTCGGACGATAATAGCTATTGAGTACTATTTTCAATGCTTCGTTATTATGTACAGAAATAATGAAATTTTTTTGAATTGGAAGGAGACTGAACTACTATTTATCGAAAAATAAGTGGATAAACGTATTTTTGTTTAACCCTTTCGTGACCAGTGGAACGCAAGAAATGAGAAATAAAATAATTCAGTTATGAAAAGGTTAAGTTGTCAGTTTGAACAGAAGTAGTACGCAGACATGTTCACCTGGTTGAGAGTAGGGCACGTGTATCCAATATACAGGGTGGACCGCGTAAAATAGGCCATTTAATTATCTTCTCTAGCTATGGTGGCACTAGAGAATTTTTAGACGTAATGTAAGTAATTAGTAAGGGTGAATAAGATGGAGGGAAAATGTTTTTATAAATGCTATATTTTCTTTTACAAATTTTCTTTCAGTTTTTGTCGTTTCTTCCATCGAAAACATTTTGCTTCCTTTGCACACTTTGAATCCTGGCCTGTTTTACGTAGCCCACCCTGTATACTATAGATTTTTAAAACCTTTTTTTTGAACGCCTCAAATGGTAATATCTATTGTGTATTATTTTTAACGGTTCATTGTAACTTTTGTGTTTAGAAATTCCTTCTTCAGTGGTATATACGTTTTGCTATATTTATAAATTTTGAAAAGTTTTAGAACTAAGAAACAACTCAACTAAACAGATTTGATGTCACAAAATTGATAAGAAAACTATAACATGATTCATACTTCCTTTATAATTGCATATAACATATATTTCTACAATATGAAAAATGACACAGTTTCAAAATTTCAATGTAAAAAATTAAATAGCCTAAGATTGAAGTGACTTTATAGTATTGTAAGATCTTCAACGTTTTTTACAAGAACGAAATATTTAAGACAAAATATATTAAAAACCAAATATTTTTCGTATTTTCATTGAACGATACCCAAATACAATCTTTTATTTTTAAACAATAAATATTGAATTCTACAAGTTAAAAGAAGTTCTATCCAGTACACTTGTTTTCTTATCCACTAAAGATTATGATATTGACAATGTGTTAATTACGAATTTTTAAATATAACTCCGCATTTGTAGGTATAAATCATGTTACAAATTTTACAAGCGCATTTTCAGTTTTAAAATGAATGAAAAAGTCTGGAAAGGGCGGGTCGTAAAACCATTTGCTTTCGAGATACAAACCACTTTCAGTTTGAAGCATTATTTCACAGCAAATATTCCAAGTAGCCACCACTGACAACCACACATGTGCCGACATTTCGTGTCATTGTTTCACACACTAAAACACATTTGGCTGTGCTTTCTTACAATTTTATAAGCGTTTCGAACACGGTGTTATAATCTTTCAAAAACTCGGTAATATTTTACCTACATTTTACGGATATAATCGTAAATCTACGTAACGAGCAGCATATTATATTCCCCTCACAAAACATGTAGGTACATAGCCATTCACAAACGTGTAGAATTTAGATTTTATTTTTCTAGACCAACTCATTGTGTGAATTGTATTTCTGCTTATGTTATTCCTGCAAATTTAGTTTATTTCTTACTATAATCGTTGATGTTTCTTATTGTTAGTACTATATTACAAACAAACTTGTTGCACGTACGTATAATCTTTGAGAATTGTTACCAAAGTGCTTTACGTAGTATAGTAGATGGAAGAAATACAGCGAGGTCGTAAATTCGCTCAAGCGTCAAAGTTTACACGTTCAAGAATATCGACAAGTGAATCGACAGAAACTAGAGAAGATAAGGGCTCGAAATCTCAGTAAGGGCTGCATGAAGTATACCTTAGATTTGATTCAGTCCTAATCTAAAAACGAAAACTGCCACATCGACCCAAGGTGTTACTGCATCATTAGTTTTAAGATAAGTCACTGGTGCGTCTTTTGGCTTTTTTCACTTGAGTACTGATAACACAGATATGCATCATTGAGATTTTCACTCATTTTCATCTGTCTCAAAATAAATTTACAAAACGCTATAAATGGTTCAATTTTTCTTCAAAAATGCCATAACAGATGTTTCACGAATTAAATAAAATTTCTTTGAAAAATATTAATCAGTTATAGCAGTTTTTCCCAATGTAACACAATTGAAAGAAATAGATGCAAAATCACCTCGTACCCATGTCAAGTGCATATTTCTTCCACCGACTATACCTTCCTGAAATTCTACGTTCGTCACCTTAATTGTGCATTATCGCACCTCGCGAGAATTGAATATCGCGAGCAGCAGATAAGTTCGAATTGAGATCTCGAATCATCGTCAATATTTATCCGCTACAGCTTTCGTTTATTTATTTATTTTTTTTCTTTTTTTAAGAATTTCCTCCACGCGAATTGCGAATGCTACTTAGAGCTCGAAAAGCGTTGTCGACAAAGTATATACGAATCGTGACACGCGGGTAGCAATCACGCGCGGAATGCCATATGACTTATCGTCGCGCAAGTTGTGACCGTGCAAGAACATACGCGTGTGTGCACTGCATTCGATAAAAATTCATTGACGTCGTGCGAGCGAATAAAGAGCGATTATTGTTTCGAACGTAGTTGCAATCGGGACATTGGTTCAGTGTTATACTATCCTCTTCGCGTGTGCTGATCGATATAGCGTAGGAAAAAAAAGAAGACGTGAGAAATTCACAAGCCGAAAATTCACGAGCAACCGCCGGAGAAAAATGTACATCGAGTTGGGCAGACAGCCACGTGTTTCTGTCGCGTAACCACGCATACTTTACACCGGGATTAGAAATTCTAATCGAGGTGTACGACGGTCGCGCACGTCTGGCAAATACGGACTCACCATTGGCCGGTGAACTCACTCGCAATAAATGAATTTCCCGTGGTCTCCTCGTAATTGCAACGACGATCTATAAATCGCGTGTTCAACACTGTCTTTTCCATTTCTTCGAACCGAATCACTGAAGAATTCACCGATCTGTCTGTCAAGATCTGCGTGAAATCTGAATTAAATTTGGATAATGGAAAATCTTCTAGGGGAAAGATCGTGAAAGAATTGTTTTACATTTCGAAATTAATTGAAAAGTTCAATTAAGTTTGCGTTAAATTCGAATTATATGTAAATTAGGTATTTTTTCTTTTTTTTTAATGTTCTCCTGAGGATAATTTTCAGGGAAAATCGAAGATTGTCATTTGAAATCGATGTGATCTGAGTTTAAATCTTAGTAATATTCAAATTAGTAAAATCTTAAACAATAGTGTAACACTGATCTTAATCATAACTCGGATTGTACAAAAATATCCATGTTGATTGCAGTATTTTTCAAATTGTACGCGAGTTTCAATCGTTAATGTCATCAACGCATCGAACGAAAGTTAAATAAGTGAATCTTAATTATTTCTGAATTTTTATTTATTTTTAAACAGCAGTACACCTCTCCGTGATTCGAAGCGAAGAGAAGGATTCAATTGTATTATATTATAATCAACGCTCTTTTACCCCGTTTGTTCGAATTTGTTGATAATTCAAAATCTCTTCAAGGTTTCGACGCGCACGATCGATGAGTTTTATCTTTTACGTTTTATCTTATGAAACATAATCACGGTCATGATGGAGCAGATACAAAGGAAAGAAAAACGCCTCGAAAACTCCTATAATTCGTTTTTCAGTACCTTCCGTGTTAAATAGACCGTGGTAGTTCAGCGTCGCGCACCACGGACGACCACTACTTTTTCACGTTACCTTACAGATTTTATTTCAGAAGTTTCCCTCCATCGTGTCGCGACGCTAATTTACCCAACAACGCGAAAACGATACTCAGATGTTCACCCTTTTAACTGACACGATCAAGCTTTTTATAATAATTCTGCAAACGCTGCTGCGATATAACACGTGTTAATATTAACCTACTATATTTTCTACATGTTTCATGTCAACAGGAGACACAAATTCTTTTGCATATTCGATGAAATTATACTGTGAAATTAATATATTTTCCCTGACATCAATGTTTGCATTGAAAAATGGAAATTGACAAATCTGTGATATGCTGAAACAAATTCGGGCTCGTTTGAAATCAACGTTGACTTCTGAATCGAATATACAGATAATATTAAAAAATTATTTCTTTCTTAAAAATGAATGGAAGTTAGAACGAAGTGAGATTGAAAAATAAGGAAACAAACAAGTATTAGTCTTAATTTTTTAAATATCTTGTCTCCTATTTGTCGATCGCAGGAGGACATCCGGTAGATATCGTGCGTGGCGGCTTGGCCTACGCACTCTGCACACCGTAACACGGTGTAGCGCGGCTCTTCATCAGCCAAGGCGAACCTTGTAGCTGTGTGTGTAAATTTTCGCGTGCGTAAAGCTGCGTACACACTAAATGTGTTTTCATCGGCACGTGAGTTCAATCGTTGCTGGCAAATATTTTTTAAATAAAAATGCAGCTTATTTAAAAAAATTTGAAACCGGTACAAAGAGAA